CAGTCCAGCTGGATTGCTGGAAAACCTTCTCTAGATTCTACCCAGAATCTTAAGAGATTTTAGCCCGTAAGCATGGGAAGGGGGAGTGGGGGGCAGAAGTATGCCTGAGGAGACTGGACTAACCAGAATGTTTCTCTTCGGTGGAGTGATGAGGTTTCCCCCCTATATTTCCTGGGTGCCCCCTACTAATTTTATTAAATTTTTGATGGTGAACACACCAGTTATGGCGACCTGCTTGCTTGTGAGTGGTGGGAGGGTCCTCACGTCATCCCCTTCTCCAGTTGAGCTCTGCTCCTCCTTGTGCTCCAGCTTCTCCTCCAGCATCTGGGGGGGTGGTTCTGGCTTCAGCTGGGTGCTCTCCATGTCTGCTGGGGAAAGACAAAGCCCTGGCACCAACAGGACCTCCACCATCAAGGATGGAGGAGAAACCCCAGGATCTGTTGGGGTAATGCAAGTAGGGCAGAGCCAGAGCAGGGTTCCCAGTGGAGGATACATGAAGAGGGGCCTCCGTGCCCACAGATGAACCTGGGATGTGTTCTTGGAGACCCTTTGCTCTCACCAACCCATGAACATGCCCTGCCTGGAGGACCAGGTTCCAGTGCAGTTCCCTCAACTGGGAACATCGTGCTCAGAGCAGGACTATCCCCACCGACAGACCAACCCAACCTGGGGATAGAGCAAATCCATCCCCAGGGACATCTCCCACCCTATCACCGATGCCATGCTGGGAGCAAGAATCCCGACACAGCCCCACCACACGCTTCTCCTGCCCATGCCACCCACAGCCCCACCAAGGCAGGGGACATCTTACCCTAAAGGCCCCTCCAAGGAGGACTCACCTTTGTGTAACGCTCGCAGGTGCCTCTGGAGGTGACACTTTCGGCTGAAGTTTTTCTCGCAGTGAGGGCAGACGAACGGCTTCTCTCCTGTGTGAATGTGCTTGTGGTTCGCAAGGGCCCAGGGCTGGGCAAAGCGTTTCCCACACATGGTGCAGGGAAAGGGTTTCTCCTCGCTGTGCGTCACCCCATGCCACAGAAGGAGGGTGCTCGTTCGAAACCTCTTCCCACACTCCAGGCACTCGAAGGGCTTCTCTCCGGTGTGGATGCGTTGGTGGTTGATGAGGTCTGAGCGCCAGGTAAAGCTCTGCCCACACTCCAGGCACTCAAAGGGCTTCTCTCCTGTGTGGATGCGTTGGTGACTTAAGAGGGCTGAGCGCGAGATGAAGCTCTTCCCACACTCCAGGCACTCGAAGGGCTTCTCTCCGGTGTGGATGCGTTGGTGTCTGACGAGGACTGAGCGCCAGATGAAGCTCTTCCCGCACTCCAGGCACTCAAAGGGCTTTTCTCCTGTGTGGATGCGTTGGTGGTTAATGAGGTCTGAGCGCCAGGTGAAGCTCTTCCCACACTCCAGGCACTCGAAGGGCTTCTCTCCGGTGTGGATGCGTTGGTGGTTGATGAGGTCTGAGCGCCAGGTAAAGCTCTGCCCACACTCCAGGCACTCAAAGGGCTTCTCTCCTGTGTGGATGCGTTGGTGACGGATCAGGCTGCTCTTCCTCATGAAGATCTTCTGACAGTCCTCACAGGTGTGCCCCTTCTCTTTGAAGCCACTGTTTGGTTGAGTTCCAGCTTCTGGCTGGTTTTCAGTATAGGACCCTTTGAAAGAGCCTTTGCCGGGTCTTCTCTGAAGCAAGACTTCTTCTCGGCTCCCTTGCTCATCATCC